ATCATCTCAGAAACATCGGAAAGATCCGCCCATACCTCACCAGACCTGCTGCACAAAAACTGACTGTTTCCCTTATTTTATCCAGATTGGACTATTGTAATTGTTTACTTGTCAATACCACTAAAGAACAGATCAAAAGACTTCAAACCCTTCAGTACACTGCTGCCAGAATCACATCCAGAGCGTCAAAGTTTGACCACATTTCCCCAGTACTGAAAGATCTCTATTGGTTGCCAGTTTCATTCCGCATTGATTATAAAATACTTTTGTATGCCTACAAGAGTTTTCACAAAAGTGCTCCACCATACCTCACTGATCTACTCAACATCTATCGTCCTCCAAGACCTCTCAGATCACAAAAGCAAAAACCTTTCACCATTCCAAAACTTCAGACCTCAACTTTTGGCAAGAGAACATTCAAATATGCAGCTGCAGAAAAAATGGAACTGTTTACCCAAAAACCTTAAATCTGCCTCTTCACTGGAAGCTTTCACGTCAAAATTAAAGACTGTTCTCTTCTCCTAGGCTTTCCCTTGCTAAGCGCACAGAGCATAGGACTGTGAATGGGGCGCTATATAAATTCATGAATTATTATTAATAAACACTGGCACACTGGGATAAAATAAACGTACTGTTTCTGTTTTAAGTGGCGTAAAACTCAATTCATTATTTTTCTCGTCTAATATATTCCTCTCGGTGTTACAAAAGAGCACGTGCAAAGCTGCTCAATTTTGCAAATATTGTGTTGTTAAGACATAGGATCCTTTGTTTGATGTGCTGCTGCAGGTTCGAACCTAGAGTCTTGGTATGTCATCACAGACACGCTATCGATGGTTTCACTTAAATTGTAAGACCTGTGGAGACCCGGGTTAGAATTGGCCTTCAGACGACTAACGGGATCGAGGGTCAGGCTCTCTGACTTTGTTGACACTGGTCTTGTCTCCGTATCCCCATTGCGTAAATCATGATGTTAATCACTGGATTGTCTGGTGCGGCGTTAAACAACAAACAAACTAAAATTGTAAGCATAACTTCAGGCTGTCCACCCACATCAAGCTGACACTCCGGGATATAATTGAAAACTGTTCACGTGGGCTATACAAGATGATGTCCGAAAGTTGTCATAAACCACAATTAACCTTCGTTACAGCAATATAATGATAAACAAGCATCATACAAGTAACATTGTGTTGAACAAAGATGCACACGACGAGGCATAATACTCCTCAGTCAGGACCCGCTGCACGGATAGTTATCATAGCGTTACGACTGACGCAAGTCCATACCGAAGTTAAGATCGTCACAACGTTGAGATTCCTTTGCGGAAACTGGCCCTGGTCATATTTGGCGATCCCTGAATAATTCTTAGGCGTTGTGGAGTAGGGTAGGGAGTAGCCTAGTGGTAAACGCGTTCGCTCGTCACGATGAAGACGCAGGTTCGATTCCCCACAAGGGTACAATGTGTGAAGCCCATCTCTTGTGTCCCCCAATGTGATATAGCTGGAACATTGCTAAAAACGGTGTAAAACCCAACTCACCCACTCTTGGTACTGGACTTTGTGAGGGGAATTTACGCCGCCAAATAACGTGTCATATCGTAATCGTGATTTCGCACATCAACACTGTTCACAAAGGTCGAGAAGGCGATAATTACATTCACTATCTATGTGATAATTTACTGTTACAAGTTACCTATTGAACTGAGTCTCTTTATACTTGTACCTCCATTCCAATTCGGTGAACAAATAACTTTCCATTTGTTTATGGCATTTATGGAGCGTAGGATACTCTCACCTCTTAGCGAACACCTATTTCTAAGTGATTCACAAACACATGTTCATGATACGTATAGGCGGATCGAGAGGGGGATGCAGGGGTGCGCACCCCACCCCAACACCTTTTGTCATGAAAGTTTATTATATAACCCGTGAAAACGGGTGTAAATTAAGTGTGCACCCCTCCCTCACACCCTTTCTCAAGAGTGCCGCAATCATACAATCGACTCCGCTATTAGCAGCTAAGTAATTTCTTATGGATGTGGAAATGATGTGAAGTGTTGATGTTCCTCTGATTGCATTTTCAATTTCAAGTAGCCCAAAAGATTGCGAGATCGCGAGAACGCGAGATTTAGGCCAAATCTCGCGTCCTCGCGATCTCGCATTCTCGCACTTTTGGCTTTTAGCTTGTTTGCAAAGGTCGAGATCGCGAGAATGGGAGATCGCGAGAATGTCCCTTACAGTATTCCATACAAAAGTCAAAGACCTGCATCACTTCGGGTTGTCCTCCCATCTCTCTCTCTCCCTCAAGGATAATCGCCATGATGGCCGCTACCTATATATTTTTTATGTCAAATTATAGACTACTGGATTAATCGGAATAAAAAATATAACGGCAGACATTAAACTGTTCCTTAAACCTTGGAGGTTTACAAACGAATAGTCTGTTGCTTAATTCAGTTATGACAGTGAGTGAGTGAGTTTAGCGCCTTCTTGGGAAGTATCTTAGTTCGGGCTAAGTTGAAGTTATTTAGTTTTACCCTCATGTGATCCTGGCGTCCTAATCACATTTTTTGTGCAGAGACAATTTCCCAATCGCCTAACGATTGAGATAGATTGATACTCTCTCTCCTTCCCTCCTCTCTCTCTCTCTCTCTCTCTCCCGTCCCTCCTCTCTCCCTCTCTCTCTCTCTCTCTCTCTCTCTCTCTCTCTCTCTCTCTCTCTCTCTCTCTCTCTCTCTCTCTCTCTCTCTCTCTCTCTGTATGTGTGGATGAGTGGGTGGATGGCGGGCAGGCAGGCAGACAGGCAGGCAGGCAGGCAGGCAGGCAGAGGGGTGTTTGGGTAAACCGATGTATGCATGTGTGTTTATGTACCAATGTGAATGAATATATGTTCAGATGTATATTTGTGTACTCATGTGTTCACGTGGATGTGTACATGCACGTTTGTGTGTGTGTGTGTGTGTGTGTGTGTGTGTGTGTGTGTACAGTCATGTATACACGTATGTGTATATATGCGTGTGTGAATGTTTTTTCTCATGTATATACGTATGTTTCCACATTTTCAACGTATGATGTTTTTTTCTTTCAGAAAAGTATGTCATGCACGTGCAGTACCTGCGAGAAGGTTGTACGTCAGTACGTAGACACACAGGAAAAGGTGCCAAATTTGTTCGTTGATCACCTTGACATATGTGATTTAAAAGGCAAACGGAAGCATAAAACGCAAAAGCAGAAAAGACTGAGGGAAATCGAAATCCATGTGTCTGCCCTCCGAAATACAGCAAGGGGCAAAATTATTCTTCATGTCAACGGCACAGCTTGTGATGATCGTTTCCTTGGATGCGTTGATGAGTTCTTCCCTCTCTCTCTCTCTCTCTCTCTCTCTCTCTCTCTCTCTCTCTCTCTCTCTCTCTCTCTCTCTCTCTCTCTCTCTCTCTCTCTCTCTCTCTCTCTCTCTCTCTCTCTCTCTCTCTCTCTCTCTCTCTCTCTACTTTTTAACTGTTCTTATTGATACTTGCTTTATATTATTATCAGTCTGCCAAAATTAAACTGTTCTTCAATTGTTGTGTGATCTCTCTTTTTTATGTATGGATACCGTATTGTAGACCCACCATTAAATAGCTGAGTACCCCACATGTGTATATATATTTTCAACTGAAATGATAGATTGATCAATTTCATGATGTTTGCTCTTCATGTACATTGTATATTGTATTCAACCACCCTCATCCACACGAAGCATCACACAACATACAAAAGAGAAATTAATAATGAAATAAATTCCAAATGGATTCATGGACAATGTATCTGTGTGAAGGATGGTTGTTGTTGTTTCTTGTTTCTTGCTTAACGCCGCATTCAGCAATATTCCAGCTATATGGAGGCGGTCTGTAAATAATCGAGTCTGGACCAGACAATCCAGTGTTTATCAGCATAAGCATCAATCTACGCAATTGCAATACGATGACATGTGTCAACCAGGTCAGCGAGCCTCACCACGGTCCCGTTAGTCGCCACGTACGACAATCATGGGTTGCTGAAGACCCGGATCTTCACGGGTCAAGTGCGAAGGAGTTCCCCTTCATCGTCTAGTTGTTATCCGAGTATGTACTTCCTGTATGGTAATACTATTGTGTTGCATTTGAGTTTGTTGTTTAACGAGTAATATTAAAAGTAATATATATCCATACAGATGAAACATTTCCAAAGGAATGGAATCAATTGTCACATTTTCCGATCATTTCTCTTCATCATCTGTTTCCTCCTTGGCTTCATCATTTGCATTTTATCAATCTTGTAAATCCAATATCCCCTACATTTACTGGATGGTATAAGTCGCTATGGGGTGGGTTGGGGGGGTGACGAGGACATTGACTCTCTATCATCTGAGACACCGAATCCCGTCCGACCTCTCACAGCATGCATACTTTAGTGGTAAAGTCTCTAATCCTTAATCCAAGAAGGGATTACCGAAACGTTCCTTTACATGTATGCTTTACCTATACTCGCTACCTGTATTTGGGATTACTTCAAAACGTACAAATACAGGAGGTGTAATTTCAGTCAAATTGTATATTGAAGCTGCAAATGAATTTATTCTTTTGTTTGAAAACTGTTTCTTCAAAATGATTTATGTGGTTGGTATCATCAAGTAAGACCTAATGGCTTAATTACGGTTTCAGTACAACATCTATCGAGATTGTAAAATTCGAAGGTTATTCAAACATTATCTCAAAACGTCAACTCCAAAGGCATAACCTGTGTCTTACAGAGCGTACTATGATATTGTGGTTGCAACTGCAGTTATAGAATAATGAAAACCAGTTACGACACCAGGTGTTTGATGAAAAGGTAAGCATGTCCGGCATGACCAGTCCCATCCGCCACAAAATTTCATAACAAAGTAAATGTTAGTTTGCCCCAGTCCCTGCACTATGTTATATATATTTTCCCCTACGCCAGACCCTTCGTCTGATGCACAAGCAACAACTCAAGCAAGTCTAGATTAAATATAATTTTTATTCAGGTTCAGGCAGTCTCCCATCTCACTGGGATTCCTTTTCCATATAATTATATCATATATGTGTTATTTGTTTCTATCATAGTTCTATCAGACTAAGCCTGAGTAAGTGCAATTGAGAGAGAGAGTGTGTGTGTGTGTGTGTGTGTGTACAGGGTCAGTGGTTTGGTTCCCTGGTAACATCACTTTAAACATGGAACTTTTTGTTACCCTGCCTGGCGGTACGGCGTTACGTGTATAAGACATGGACCAGTGTTGTGTAACTAAGGGGGCTATCTATATTAATGGTATTTCAACTGACCAACAATGGCACCTCATGATCACCTCACCTCCCCTCACCTCACCTCACCTCACCTCACCTCACCTCCTCATCTCTCACCAATGATTAAAGATTAAATTTTTGTGTTCAGTGTTTATCATTCATACTGATTGGCTGAATTTGTTAAGTGACCAATCCGATCAAGATGTACGCTTAGAAATTCGCAGTTTAGTGAAACCCTTAGTGCTGACACACCTAGAAACACAATAATCAACGATTCGGACAATCATAAGTTCCTGTCAATAGCATCGCCTTTCACTGATAACCGCACAGTGTACGTACCACAAATATGTAAATCTGAATGAGCACAGCACATGCACTGACATCACAAGTCCTGCTGAAACAGCGCACAACAACCTCTTCTTCATCTTAACTGAGTGTTGGGCTGTGGGGTAGCCTAGTGGTTAAAGCGTTCGCTCGTCACGCCGAAGACCCGGGTTCGATTTCCCACATGGATGCAATTACAGAAAGTCCATGTATGGTTTTTCACGCGGTGATACTGCTGGAATATTGCTAAAATCAGCTTTTAACTAAACTCACTCGCTCATAACTGAGTGTTGGGCAATGCGGTGGTTAAAACGTTCGCTAGTCACGCCGAAGGAACGGATTAGAAAAGGGGCAAGTGAAGTCCATTTCTGGTTTTCCCCGCGGTGATACTGCTGGAATATTGCTAAATCAGTGTCAAACCATACTCACTCACTCACTCACTGTAGAGTGGAGTTCACTTGTGCGTTATCGTTATGGCACTCATTAAATTGAAACGGTGTAACTGCAGGTAACTGATAAATACACGATTGTGTAATCACAGTATGCATAATGACATCAGTTTGTTGATCATTATCACTGACACGATATGGTCAATAGTATCGTCATTACTCACGTGTTTGTACAATCTACCTTCCTGAGTCACCCGTGTATACAACTAACAGTTATGAAAATAAAATAAACACTGAACTCTCATTGTTCCTCGCTGGTTTCTGGATGCAGGCCTTCTAAGGTACATAACTCGTCTTGTGTTGATGATTGGGCAACAATATCTGAATGAAGCATTTCCTACTCACAGTGTTGTGCTAATAAAATCATGCACTGTATGCTGACTGACTTGAAAGACTCTTGCATGCATTGTTAGCATGTGTGACACCATAGTTAACCTCTACACGTCCTTAATGAGAGAGACGACTGACAAAAGATATGTCGTTGAATGTTCATACGCTGTGTAGCGGTAACTAAGCTTTCAGTGTTCATCAGAGACACTCTTCTGATCAGAATCATACACTAGACGCCAAAAGAATCGTTACCCTCCTACCTTTATGAATTACTGAAAAACAAAGATATTTGGGAAAGTTTTAGTTATTAGGGCGATAATCGACAAAAGATCCATAATCTTCGGTTTAAGTCAGAGACATTCTTTCTGTCAGAATCAGATATGCTCTACAGTCGGTGTGGAATACAAGCATATCTCTAACGTCCTCCCGGTGTGGTGGCCGTGTGGTCAAAGCGTTTGCTCGTCACGCCGAACACAGGGGTTCAATTCCCCACATGAGTAGAATGTGTGAAGCCCATTTCTGGTGTCCCCCGCCGTAATATTGCTGGTATATTGCTAGAAGCGGCGTAAAAGTAAACTCATTCATTCACTCCTCGCGGTGTCAGTTAAAGACTGGTGATCTCAATGTCAGCATCTGGTTCCACTTCCCACGAATCTGGCGTTTGAGTTTCCACAGACAAGGCGGTTTGTGTGCCAGTCGTACTCAGAGGGCGAACCTGCAACGATGGAAATATAATACTTAACGTTTGACAAGGATACTGAAATACTTCATACTGCTACATCTACAACTTCCGCATTATGACAAACGTAAGGGGAATGAAGTTTTTTCCTATCCCTTTCCAAAGTTGTGTAGTATTATTACAACACAAGACAGCTAACTCAATACAAAATGGATCCGAGATAGAATTGGTCTTCATCAACCCATGATTGTCGTAAGCGGTGACCATCCGCATCGGCTGGTCAGGCTAGCTGACTTGGGTGATGCACGTCATAGTATCTCAGTTGCGTTCATCGATGCTCATAATGTCAGTCACTGGTCTCACTGGCCCAGGGTCGATTATTTAGTGACTGCTGTCATATAGCCGAAAATGTGCGACGTTAAGCAACACGAAAAAAGGGGCAAATAAACAATATGCCCCCGCATATTCGCCTTAACACGAAAAAAAAAGGGGGGGGGAATAAACAAAATGCCCCCGCATATTCGCCTTCTTCTTATGTATGATTAACAGATAAAATCAGTCTCTTACCATGAATACATAGAAGCTGTAACAAAGTTGAAAGGATTCGGATAGTGTACACGCATATTCGCCTTCCTCCTATTGCGGGGAAACACAATAACTTCTCAGAAAAAAATACAATAATGAAATCCAACTCACTGTATACTGGGCACGTCTATGGTACGGCTCATACTGCAGCGCCTGTATACTGTCATCACCATCAATACCGCTACCTGCAAAGAAGATTCCTGTGGGGTTGGGTCCACATTACAGGGTTATGACGGACCCGATATATGGCCTCGATACGGATGCAAATTGTTACTGACAGCCAGAACATCGCACTGCGAGTCCAGTAGGATAATACATTCTGACAACCAATTCATTTACGGTCATGCCAAAGAGGACGGAGGTTAAATGACAGACCATTTTTGATTTTCTTGAATTTTCCCTTCCGTAAGCTTTCCGTATCTACCAATCTCCCAATCCAAATCTTCCCCCACAAATTAGTTCTGGAACAATACTGGTGCAATACTGGAATAATACTGGTGCAATACTGGAACAATACTGGTGCAATACTGGAACAATACTGGTGCAATACTGGAACAATACTGGTGCAATACTGGAACAATACTGGTGCAATACTGGAACAATACTGGTGCAATACTGGAACAATACTGGTGCAATACTGGAACAATACTGGTGCAATAACTACTGGTGCAATACTGGTAATACAATAAATGCAATTTGGTGCAATAATGCATTTGAACGCTGTGTTGTGAATAAGGAAGGTCCGTTGTTATTCCATGATGTTTACTACTTACCTTTCAGTCTCACCAAATCTCGTTGAATCTCCCTCTGTGTGTCTTTGATCTCCCTTATCTCCTTCAGCAGCGTGTCTGTCGTAACAGTCAGGACATGACACCTTATTTACAATCATCAGTTTCAAAATAAACCATATGATATATTTATCAAAACAATGACAAAAGATATTATTGGTTTAACATAAGCACGTAGTTGCTTTTATTCTGATAATACGGTATATTCTCATCTATGGTAATCACATGTATGGAATCTTGCATAATAATATATATATATGTTATAATTTGTATGTTATAGTTGTTTTTAAAATCTGTAATGTATTGGTAAGGTGGCTTTCCGGGCACATGCGGCAAGACTGTCCTTGATTAATGTATGTATGTATATTTTTTAATATATATAGTTATATAGGTTGGTGTCGAGACAATCTTCTGCCCATTTTGAACAGTGTTACGTATGAATAGTTGGGTTACAACAGTTATAGGGCGAAATGCTTTTAAGGTATTTCCAAATAGCAGCATCTCTGCTGTCTCTATCAACATGAACGTTGCTAATGTATCTGATGGGTCTGTATCACCTTTCAGTTCATCGATTTGCCCTTGCATTTGCATCTTGATCTGCTCCAGCAATTCTTTCTGATGACACACGTGGGGTGACGTTGCTTGTTTTTCAGTGTCAGCATCTTGTGAACATAAAGCCATTTTGTGTGATGTAAAATAGGAAATAGGAACTAGAGTAGTAACAGACATAAAGCGTTATATATAGTTAACAAATAGTTCGCAATACAGTTATGTGTTGTGTGTTTTGGGCGCTTAAGAACATCCGTTGTCTTCTCAATTTTTGCATGAACAGTTACATGCCACTGACGTATTAAAGACAACTTTATGTTAAGCACAACCCATCGTCCGAGTGTTTAAAATGTCTGTGTAACACAATCCGGATTGTTATAGTGAGTGTAAACAAACCGCATGAGATCCGAAAACATAATCCGAATATATATTTAAATCATGTATCATAAATCGGTGAACAGCTGATAATATATATAAGAAGAGCAGTTACAGGTACTAAATGGTCTACAGTGTTTGTTCCTTGATCATTTCTAATTGATAAGGATGAATATAAAGAAGTTAATTTCCCTTCAACGAAATGTTGAAGTGAAGCAAGTGCGGTACGGTAGTAAAGTCTTACTTGTGTGTCAATCCTCTAATTATATTCTCGTGAAGTAATCTCGAATGTGGCGTAATAATACCACGATAGCAATGCATTAAAGGTGCAGAAGCGTATTTGTAAATCCTGAAATTGTCTTCAGAACCAAATAATGTATCATTCCATAATTATCGAAAGCAATGAAAAGGACCATCATACCTGCTTTAGAATCCGAGCTGTTCGTCTCCGTCGGTAACGTGTCTTCACCACAGTTGTTTGCTACATCATTTTCAGGATCATTTACTGTATATTCGAATGTTTCAGCTGGTGATCCACCGCTGTCGTCACAGGAAGATGTATATAGAGTGTAGACACATCTAACACCTGGAGCTTTATGAAGATTGTCAAGCGATTCATCTGAGGAACTCGAATGGTTAGTCTCTGAACTGGACGTCATTTTGGTGGGTATGTTTAGCGAACCAGAATCCTTTTGAACACAATAACTGCGGTAATATGTTCCACTGTGAAGGGTATCTATCAATGAAGATGTCACAATGAAAAGCTGTCGCATAGATGTCCTAAATGTTCTTTCAAGGAAAAGAAAGGGATACAGCACCTGTTACAAGGTCCTTGGTGGCAACGGAGATCAAGTCAGATTTTTAAATCTGGTACTTTACACAATCAATATCCACTAGCTGTTCGTGCAACGAAGTCTATATTTGAGCGATGATAAGAGAATTGACCTTGTTAGTCACACAACAATCTTCCTCCGGACAAGGCAATCTCAACGATTCAACTGATGCTTTCTCGCTTCCACAGGATAACACTGGAAATTGAAGTCTGAAGAAATAGCTAAGTGTGGATGGTGACACTGAATTCAATTAGCCGTTTGGGATTGTTCACGTTTTCCACATTGTAATTCAAATACTTCGGTTTCTAGGAATATACACACCTAAGTGCACAAGACGTCCGTTAATGTTTTGTATTTTTGTCAGCAATTCCTAAAAAGATTAGCTCCAACATTCATATTCTCAGAAGTGAAGTTTTCCCAGTGTCTGAGTGACGTTCACTGCTGTTTTTCTTGTTCTTTGAACTCGATGATTCGACTTTCAGGTAGAGTTGATTTCAAGCCTCGTTATTCTGTGACACAAGAGAGACACGATATTAGGCGTTGATGGTTTGTCAGACTTAACATCCGAGCACAATTTTGTTATAAAATCCACAAGAGCAACTCCTTTCGTTTTCTCAAGAGATGTAAGGATGAAATCTTTGAATTCCTCAAAACCTAAAATTTTATATCTGTATAAACGAGACAAGATACCACCTCACATAAAATTGTTCACATTTTGTTTACATTCATCAAAGCATCCCCTAAATATATAACGGTCAAATTACCACGCTGTTCAAGTGAATTACATGTCCGGGCCTTGAAATATTCACCACTTCCCTATATCAGTGAACTGAACGAGCAATACGTTATGTAATCTAATCTTGAAATGTTATGTAATCTAATCTTGAAATGTTAACTTGATATCATGTACGACTGACCAGGTACATAGTGTTGATAGATACACATATGATTTACTTATCTCTGCATATATGTTGACACAATAGACAATACAACCAAATCTATACTACTCAAAGTTTGATAAGGATCCAGCTATGATGATATCAGAAATCACCCAACACATACCTGTGAATTGTTAACCATTACTGTGGGATCGTTACAGAATTGTTGAACATCATTATCAGAAAGCACATGTGCGGTTGGGGATAGCAATAACTGCACTTATACTCCCTCGGCGCCAATGACGTCAATAGACTACAGAAGAATTAGTCTGGATCAAGGATGATATCGCATCTTATCGCGCCTACGTTGAGCAGGGGGAGGGGGGGGATTTGTCCACATGGTGTGGTCAGTCTGGTCATCAAATCACAACGCTATCCAACAATGTGGAACGAAGTGCAGAGATCCAGTTTTTGGTCAGGTTCTCTCATTTTGACGAGTACTCAGCCTGACTACATATTGTTTGTTAGCATATTGAGGCAGCCTATAATAGTGTTCAATTCATTCGAAGTGTTCTCTTGCAATATTGTCTTTGGCTATTCGTGGAGGTATGTGAGTAGAGCTCACGTCACAAATCAGTTGAAGTTAAGCAAAGCTTCTCGCGGAGAGCCTTGGGTGGGTGACCGTGTTTGGCAGCTTGGCTCCTGAGAGTTTCTGTGATTTCAGTCCTGCCCCGCAACTAAGCACATCTGTTACATGTTGTCTCACCTTAGGTAAGTGAGTTTGTTCAAACTTGCCTCAAGTTGCCTCAGTAGAAAATGGATACCTGGTAGGATACGTCATGTGACTATTAACCTCCTACCGCCTCGCAAGCAGCATGGGTTATCCGGGGTAATAATAATCATATTCTGTAGCTCTTTGAGCATGACATAGGGTGAGGAATAGGCGCATAATAGATATGCGTTTATTATTCATTATTAATTCGTTGTACGTATACCCTTTATAGATGATCCTTATCAAACGTTAAGCAGTATAATTTATCAAACATCCGGGTATAATGTATAAGATAAATACGGACGTTTCATAAACGTTTCCGGTAATAACCTCCTTTTGTGAAGAAGGTGTAATCGTCGAAATATTTAGGGAAACGTTTCGTTAATGACATGACCGTATATACCGTAAATAATATAGTAGTTGTCATAGATAATACCATATAGTCATGTTTGTTTTGTTTGTTCGTTTGAAGTTGAATATGTGCTGTTGATCACTGGCTTGTCTGGTCCAGAAGGCACTACTGCTGTTAATGCAGTAGGGATCAATCGAACTGTTAGGAACAAATAATCCAGGGTGGTTATGCTGCCTGGTTTGGTTCCTTGTGCGACTTCGTAGACGTTGACCATCGTTTATTTTATCAGTAAGTGGTGAAATATTGTTCACTGTGGTCTGAAAATAATCTCGGCTGGACCAGACAATTCAGTGACTGACATCATGAACATCGATCGATTTAGATGAGATACGATGATGTTGAGTCAACCAAGTCGGCTTACCTGACCAACGTATCTATTAGGAACATCGGAGGTTGCTGGTGACGCGTACACCTAATCAAGAGACCGGGGAACAGGTTTGCAGACCCGTGAAGATCCGGGTTAGAATTGGTCTTCACCAACCCATACTTGTCCTAAGAGGTAACTAACAGGATTGGGTGGTCAGGCTCGCTGACTTGGTTGACACATGTCATCGTATCCCAGTTGACTAGATCGATGCTCATGCTGTTGATCACTGGATTGTCTGGTCCAGACTCGATTTGACCGCCACTATATTGCTGGAATATTGCTGAGTGCGGCGTAAAACTAAACTCACTCACTTCAAGTCTGAGGTACGAACAGGCTTTCTGATCGCCTATGTGGAACGGTGACCTATATATTTATGCACATATGTTCCAACATGGCTTGGGTTCGGTTCCTACAAAGGTGCTATTCTTGACGGGATATTTCTGTATAATATAATCAGCGATAGAATAGCCCCATAACCAACCTATGTTGGTCGTAAGAAGCAACAAAATTCATTGGTAGAGAGTGGGTGAAGTTATTGACGGCGGTGTACTTCATAATATCAACCACTGGTTTTCTGGTCTAGAATAGCATCCAGAATAATGCTGAATGTGGCCTTTAAAACAACAAAACGGTAAGACGATTACAGTATACAAGGATGTGAAGGGAAGGCTCGATATCTTTTCTTCGGGAAGTTTTATACTGCATTCTAGTGTTATGTTTAGTGGAAGGTTGATCCAGCATACCGGCGCATGTTATCACGGCGATATGTTATAGCTGTAAACTAATGTTACGGTTAACGAAACTCAAGGCGAAAGGATGTCTCCACAATGATCCCATAAAAGCAAAGCATGATAAAAATTATGTGAATTCAACTATGACAGTTGTTCGCGAATAGGGTGCAAATTTCCTCCTCTAAAAAGGACCCACACACCAATTTTCATTAAAAAAACCATTAGCGGTTATTTATGGCCTGTAAATCAACGAGTAAAACCAGACAATCAGGTGATTGGTGTTATGAGCAATGATCAGTGCTGCCAGGTACGACAACGCATTTTAAACAAATAGAACGTCTTCAAGCTCAACCAACCGATCCACTAATATATTGAAAAGGAGACTAGAAATCTCCCTGTAAACATGTAACGAGTACATACCTCTACCTCGGATTCCTGAGCATTTATACCAACACACTAAGCCCTTTTCTGGTTGAACAAAGCCAATGAAGTTAGCAGAAAACGGAAACAAATCTTAATCGATACAATCTTTCCTTGTATCACAGAAATACAAGGTCAAGGAAAGAAGAACAAGGAAGTGTCTTTGTTTGTTTTTAACCCAGAAATTATTTCCGCTGTACAACGGAAATCAATAAATCATTGTGCTATCTTAACCCTTGGCCTGTCCAAGACTGAGGTAAGAATTGGGTGTATGATTGCTTTGTAGAACCGTGACCTATAATATATGCACATGTTTCATGTTAAATTAATATTTCAGTAGACCGTACATGTGTTTGGTTCGCTGATACAAGGCTCCGCAATTTGCTGCTCAGGTCACTGTCTCTTAGGTCAATATGGATGTTCCCATATTGTCCCTGATAATGGGACCTGTGAAGATCCGGGTTAGAATTGATCTTCAGTAATCCATGCATGTTGTAAGAGGCGACTAACGGGATCGGGTGGTCAGGCTTGCTGACCTGGTTGACACATGTCATCGGTTCCCAATTGCGTAGGACGATGCTCATGCTGATGGATTGTCACTGGATTGTCTGGTTCAGACTCGATTGTTTACAGACCGCCACTATATAGATGGAATATTGCTGAGCGCGGCGTAAAACTAAACTCACTCACTCATTTCCCTGATAATGTTTCTATTTCCAACTGCTACAAGAATGATATCTTAATCAATTTCCTATTTGATTTGTACCGTATGCTTCCGTATTTGCGCAGGCAGAAACCTGGCTTGCCTTTGTGTGTGTTATGCTAAAAAAATAAATATGGTTTAATACTGATAATAATCCAACCGAGGGAATATTCACACTATAACAAAGAGTTACACATTGCAGATCCTTTATCGTATATAGGGTTAATCTTCACAAATCCCTTAGATTTAGTTATGTACGTAAACAACGATTACAACTTTGCGCAAAATCTACAAGTGTTTTGAATTGAGCCATAGAATATACATACACTTTATGCTCAATTAAAGAACTTAGAAAAACTACAAAACAAAATCAAAATAGTTTGATATCATTAGAAAATCGCTTCAGCATGAATTGAACGATGTCGATTTCAATGGAAACCGGTTTGTAAAGCTTAAGTTACTCCACCCAAGTGTTAAATGTACTTTTAGTAGTATGCAAGGAAATGGTGAACTCTGAAATATTGTTAACAGCAACGGAAAAGAATTGAGGTAGCAGCACAATGAACTAGGGATCCGAACGAGGAAGAAGGATGTTGATAACATCAAATGCAGTATCTACGTTGACACAAGTCTGACAATCAATTGTATTTAAAAAATAAATGTCAACGAAGCAGTGATGCGATGCTTGAACAATTATCTTATTTGTCGATTTAGATCCCGAGTGAGTTAACGGTTCCATGATAACGTTGCCAAGGGAACAACTGTGATATTTATATATCCATGAGCCCATGGCGACCTTGTCTTTGTGATTACACGAGTAGGTATTTCCATTTGTCTTGCAATGATGTGCTTAGTATTTGGTACGTGATATAACAGTTTGGTATCGGATTTTAATGCTTCAACTTGATACTAGTGAACTAGACATGAAAACAGATATTATCTAAAACACCAACAAGATACGCGGGACTTACATAATTCATTCAGTCTTTAGTCTTTATTTCTTACTGTACTGTAATGTAGGCCACAGGCCCATGATTACAACACACATGATCGTTACAGGCTTTCCCCTGGGGAATGTATAACAGATAACTACATATTGATATGTACAATCAGGAGGCTGCAGAACGTTTTACATTTGCATAGTAAATATACATAACAGTATTTTGAATACCTTCAATATTTGCTGATGACATTAACATATTAAATTATTTTATGTACTTGTAAACATTTTCAGCAATATATCTAATTAAGTCACTCATTTATTTAAAATGGTATTCATTTACAATATATTTCAATACATTCATAATAGACAGATAGTTCGTAATTCCAAACCTCGAGGAAGTTAATTTATATATCACTTACTGACATTTTAAGAAAGAACATGAAAAGACCTTATGACACGTGAACCCTGCAGAGATTTGGCATGTAAGTAAAACCATTCTTCAGATAACGTAATGTCATAAACTTGTGATGCTAAGAACAGCGGATGTTATCCACAAGTGTTACACATACTACAATAGATTTGCAACCTTACGGGTCTATGTTCCAAAAGGAAGGATGTTTGTAATTGCTAATAAGTTTGTAACCCTAAAATTCCTTTCCGACAGCTCCACAGCGTTAACCAGAAACGTATAGCTTGAGGATTGTGTTTGTGTTGATATTTACACATGAAATATTTTCTCTCTTTTTTTGTCAAGATATTCAGTTGAAAATTGAACAAACAAAATGCACGCTATTTTCGTGCAACAAAACACCATTCTGTATTCTTTAACGGCACCTGCCGAATACATATCGAACAAACGTTGGTTTCAGAATTGCCAACATAAAGATCATCGCCGCCAGATATAACAGATCAACAATCACAATGTCGCATTTGTAAAGAATATATTTTAAGTACAATACAATACAAATATGAAAGGTACAAAACTAGATAACCTGGAAACATTACAATGAAATAATATTGTAAGTAATTCTCATCCACCGGGTTAATAGGCTGGAGAATTAGAATATAGGGTTGAGTATGGACAGTACGATGTCTGTTATCAACAAAATATGTACAAACCTGTAGTATTAATCCATATAAATAAATTGTAAGTTGACAGCTTCCAAACCGAGCTCGCTAATTATTTCTACAATACTGTCCTGTACGTAAAGAAGTAAAGTTGTACTGTGTACGTATGCCAATAAGAAGGCAATAAAGGACTTTATGTTGATTCTAGTTGCATTACTCTCAGCCATACAGTGCTATGTTAATATTCCAGTAGATTGTGTAACCTTGATATTTGTACAGCAACATATATAACATACCTATTGTACGTGAAGTTGCGAAATGTGTGACAATTTTATTAGTTAATATGACTGTCCGTGCATCCACATTATCTTCACATTAATCACTTGTCACAGAGACCGACAGATTCTTAAATCAAATCTAAACACAACCATTTGGAAATCAATTCAATGGTAATAATAAATGAGAAACGCTTTTTTCTATTTTTGACAGTACCGTTCCCTCAAACTCGTATATAGATTTTCGAAGGTGGAGTACGGTTTACTGCTCCATTGAACAGTAATTCATGATCAGTTATATCACAGCATGTCAGATTAAGAGTAAGTAAGTTTAGTTTTACACCGCTTTCAGCAATATTCCAGCAATATCACGGCGGTGGACACGAGAAATATGCTTCACACATTATACCCATGTGAGGTGAGGTGAGGTGAGGTGAAATTGGGTTTAACGTCGTGCTTGAGAATATTTCGCTCATATGACGACGTGCATGTGTGTGTATGTGTATGTGCGGCTGCTTGTACTAGCCTAGACTTAAGCTGGTTTTATAGTGCTAGCCCACTGAGATACCATGCCGCAGTTAAGCATGAATACCCCACTCAGACACATTGTACTGACTCCGAGCCGACCAGTCCTTTTTGAACCCATTAATGCCGAGCGCCAGTCTATACCCATGTGGGGAATAGAACCCGGGTCTTCGGCGTGACGTGCGAACACTATAAAATAACTACAGATTTAGATGAAAGCTGAGTCCAAAGTGATGCATTTCTTTGCCATTTTCCCTTTCGAAGAAACAGTAGCATGTGTATGGTGCTGGCGAAAAAGCAAAACAGAAATGAAATTGTGATTTGAAACCAGCACCATACAGGTAGGTTTGTGGCAGGGGACGTAACTCTGTCTGGACTTAATGAAAAAGACAGACAGGTGGCTGCTGATTAAACATTAAATATTGTCACATTCGACCTGCATTTGACTCAACTGTGAAGTACTGTCAACACTTGTCTTCATGTCTTGTCTATTAAATGCGAGATGACAAACCCTCTGTTTAATCATCAGTTTCGCTTCCTCCAGGACTTCTTTTACGGTGCACGTCATGTCCATGTAGCGGAACCTGCAGTAGGTGTGTTGTCAATATTTGGCTGTCAATAGACGTGTCTTCAGGAGAAATCCTTGTGACCTGTAACCGAGAGAGTGGTTTGAGTTTAACGCTGAGTTTCAGTTATAGTGAGTGAGTGAGTCTAGTTATACGCCGCACTCAGCTATATTCCAGCTATATGGCGGCGGTCTGTAAATAATCGAGTCTGGATCAGACAATCCAGTGATCAACAACAAGAGCATCGATCTAAGCAATTGGGAACCGATGACATGTGTCAACCAAATCAGCAAGCCTCACCACCCGATCCCGTTAATCGCCTCTTACGACAAGCATGGGTTACTGAAGATCAATTCTAACCCGGATTTTTACGGATCTAAACTCATGGGCAAAAGAAAGTGAACACTCTTTATTTTGATTTTTTGGCAAAGTTGTCCAAGTTAGTAGAATCCTTTTAGGCCGAAACGGCCACGCGAAGAACACGACCACAAGAACTTGAAGACGCCTCTCAGGAACGAGTGGAATAGGATTCCGAATGACGTCATTCGGCGGCTGACGACATCGATTAGACGACGAGTCGGGGCGTATATTGCTGCTAGAGGTGGTCACACTCGTTACGACGGATGCGTGTATGCGTGACCAGAGACTTGACATGATGAAGACATTCCATGATTGACTCTTGTATCTGTGAACTGTGCTATTCCTACCCCTCTGTCCATTACATGACACGTGCTCTTTATCTGTGAGGAGTTTATCATAGACACTGTGGGTGCATTGTCCCAAATGCTGCCTTCATTAAATGTACTATAACTTAAAAAACATTGTATGTTTTGATTTGATTTTATCGATCATTAATAAGGGTGTTCACTTTCTTTAGCCCACTAGTTTAAAGGAGTTGGGTTTAACGCAGGTTTGAACAGCTTCAGTTACATCACGGCTTGTCAGCTCAACCTGGGAGGAAAGACCAACATTATGCATTATGCACATGCTGCACCTACAGAAACATAATCGGGCCGATCCGGGATTCGACCCATCGATCATAGGTTTCTGTCGTGACTAATGCTGTTTTACACATGAATTGGCCACCGTCGGCTAATGTAGAGGAAATCATGTAGGTCTTAGACTTCGTTATTTGGATGTAACCCACAAGCTGACGATCCAAGGACCCAGAAAGGTGAATGCGAGATTCTAACAAATGATCAGCAAATGAGCAACGACAGTTCTGCATGTGGGACGCATGTGAGGACCGCTTTTGTATCCTTGAAACTTTAGTAACCCAGCAGCAGAATTATACGTTCTTTAAGTATTCAAATCACTTTTGTTGACATTCAGTATTTAATGTCAATATATATCGCGAGAGCAAATATGTGGTCTTAAAGCTGAATGAACTTCTTCTTCTGAAGCAATGATGACAAACATATCAAACAAGTGCGACATTGTTATCAAAGGCAATTCCAGGTGAAAATATCTTCAACAGAGAAGGTTCCACCGATTCTCCATTAATTTATCGAATCCTAATTGAGTAGATCGATGCTCATGCTGTTGATCACTTTATTGGCTGCTCCAGACTCGATTATTTACAGATTTCGGCCATATATCTGAAATACTGCGGAGTGCTGTGTTAAACAGCAAACAAACCAAACAATCCATTAATTTATTGTTTACTGTTCATTGTTTACTTACGCTGGGTCGCCGACTGCGAGGTCTCTTGACGCTTTCCTCATTACTTCCTGACAAATAACAAAAGTGTCATAAACATTTAATACACTTCCGTGTGGCCCGGAAATCGAATATTTTCAAAACGTCAGTCTGAGAGAATAATTAGTTTCGATTTGGTGTCTGACGAAACAGATTACTAATGTGAAAGTAGAGGTTTTGGGGAATCTGAATGTTAACTTGTATGAATAATAGTTCAACTTAACATTGAAATGTGTATTTTGTATCGAGTATGTTCAGATTCACTATTCTGATATTGCATTCTTTTTCGCATGCTTGTCGCAAGACGTGACTAAAGGAATCGGGTGGTCTGGCTTGCTGACTTGGTTGACACATATCATCGCATCCCAATTTCGTAGATAGATGCTCATGATGTTGATCACCGGATTGTCTGGTCCCGATTCGATTATTTATACACCACCGCCATATAGCTGGATTATTGCTGGGTCCGGCGCTAAACAACAACTTTACCAAACGAGCATTCGTATTTATTGATACTATCAAACAAAACCTTTAGCAAAAACATCCAGTGTCAATCATATTCCCCCGCGTTGAGGCATTACATTTACGTTAAACGAATTCGAACGTAGAACGTTATCGAGCATATATATATATAGCTTACAGGGAATGTGCCGAGATGTAACAGTAGATTTTGATACAACTACAAAGAATATTGATTTTACACAACGTTTAATATCGTGTAAATCCAGAAAAAGCCAACGACAAATGATTAATCATAACAATGGTTCAGATGCATTTAGTGTAAAACGAGGTCAACCTTATAGACACACCTGTAACATATCGTATCAAATATCTCCCTCCAGACTTAGGGGTAGGGCATGTACATCGTTCACATGGGTCTATGGTTAGAGGAAGCGTGGGACCAATCTCATAACATGTTGAAATAATCGAAGATTGGTTATGAAAACAATCTATACAGATCGTCATGTTGTTAAAACATCAACTGGAACACTATCGGTGCATTTCCAATATTTTGACTTGGTGTCATCAGTACATTAAATCAACATTTCATAGCGCTACAAGCTCCTTAGACCTAAGGGATGAAATGAGACTCAAGAATCCAAAGTTTTAAGCTAACAAACTATTAACTTCAAATATGCAAAATATCCTAACAGGGAATGTTGTAATGGAACCCAAATTTACTCAGTAATTTATTAAAAAATTGGTGTTCACAAAGATAACAGGAACATGATAAATGATATATTTTCGATGATTGATCATTGGTCCAATCATCAATTATTAGATTTTAAGCAATTCCCAACACTAGTTGTCACTATAGACTGCTTACCTTCAATCCTCACCAACTGCTTCATGATCTGCTCATGGTTTACCCGAACCTCCTCTCGAAGTGAGTCTGAAAATGTTAGCGCTGTCAAATAATGCCCGTTAGATTGCTTGATCCGACTTACTGTCAGTTTCTTTGTTTGTTTGTAATTTAACGCCGCATTCAGCAATATTCCAGCTTCAAGGAGGCGGTTTGTAAATAATCGGAGTCTGAACCAGACAATCCGGTGATCAACAGCATGAGCATCGATCTACGCAACAGGGAACCGATGACTACATGTGTCAACCAAGTTAGCGAGCCTGACCACCCGATCCCGTTAGTCGCCTCTTACGACAAGAATGGGTTGCTGAAGATCAATTCTAACCCGGATCTTCACGGGTCGTAATGTAAAGGTGTCGATATGCTGGTCGTGGATAACCAGAGAGTGAAAGCATGTCTATTATCTATTATCAGAATAAGTCGGAATTCATTATCCTGGGATCATCTGTAATCGTATCATGATATTCAACTTATAAAATGTTTTACATACATTATGAAAATAATATATGAATATATATAGGGGACGAAATGTAATTTTCTTAGTTCTTAGTCTTCTTAACGTTAGTCTGATCAATATCAGAAGTTTCAGAATCAAATTCCTTTTTTGACTTAGTGTATATGCTTGTAGTAGGCGCTCATATTTGTAGGGAGGTGGCCTGTTTGTTTTCCACTCTGAATATCTCAAGAGCCGGAGTTGTTTGAATCCAACTAATCCACTTCAAGCACATTTGGAATTCTGGGGTCCCAGTAACGTGTGCTTGCCTGGATCAAGTGGTCAGGATAATAGTTTATCAGTTTTCGGTTTGTTTGGTTCAGAGTCGATACTTTAAAGTAAACAATGACACAGAAGGAATATTGGTGAACATTATATTCAGTTGCAAATCTTTAAAGACAATGCTTGTCAAACACCTCTCACCTACAGAAGCTTTGACATCCATGATCTGGCGTTGCATGTCCATGATTATTTGAAAGAGGCCCCTCTGATCACATTCAGCAGGCGGCTGCGGTTTGACATCTTGTATGTGAATTCATAGAAACAATATGCATTAAATATTTATGCTTATGATCATCTGATCAATGCATATTGTACAACCCAAGCTTTACTAAGTGATAAGTATGTTTGTGCTCGTTTCAGTATAACTGTAATTGGAGATATACACCTACCAAGAACTTAAAGAGTGAGTGAGTGAGTGAGTATGGTTGTAAGCCGTTTCTTGCAACATTCCAGCAAATTCGCGGCGGGGGACTCAAGAAGAAAGAAATTAAAGAAGTCATTGTCATGGCAACAAGAGTCATGTGGAAAATCGGGTTCAGTTTCAATCCTTTTGAGTAGTATAACATAAGGATCAGAAAATGTATACATGGCGGACCACTTAGTATCTAGTGAGTGAGTGCGTATGGTTTTACGCCGCTGTTAGGAATATTCCAGCAATATCGAGGCGGGGGACACCAGAAATGGGCTTCACACATTGAGAAACGAACCCGGGTCTTCAGCGTGACGAGCAAACGCTTTAACCACTACGCTACACCATCGCCTCGACCGGTCAGGAGATACAATACGGCAGATTAGGTCATAGCACCAAGTGCTTGAGTTCAGAAGAGACTGTTCACCATATGCGATCGCTGCAAAGTTAACGTGTCCCTAAGATGTTTATATTTGCTTATAATATCCGTCATCTGCGTCATCTACGTCATCTACGCATATTTATATCTAATATGCATAACAATTCATAAGGATAAAAGACGACTACACGACTCTATGACAAGAGGGATGACGTCAGTCATCTTTGCCTTTACTGTATTTGACCATACAATTTCAAACCTTCCAAAATGTCTCTTGGCTTAAAGCGGGGGCGGTGGGGTAGCCTAGTGGGTAAAGCGCTGGCTCGTCACGCCGAAGACCCGGGTTCGATTCCCCATATGGGTACAATGTGTGAAGCCCAATTCTTGTGACCCCCGCCGTGATATTGCTGGAATATTGTTAAAAGCGGCGTAAAACTAAACTCAGTCAGTCAGTCAGTCAGTCAGTCAGTCCATCATTATTGGATAAATATTTCTTGTTTGCATCTGTTTCGCTTCTTTTACACGTTTACATGAACACGCCTTAGTCGAGCAGCTTGAATACTACTGACTGCGATTTTTAAAAAAAATCAAATTCCAAATTACCCGATTTGGAATCCTTATTGTTCGGTTCCGTCCTTCGTCCACTCATACCTCTAAGAAGGATTTCATCACGAAGACCTGAAACCCCATCACAATCAGAGCGGTAACGGGCCCGAGACTCCGAATCACTGCTACTATCAAAGGTAGAGGAGTATCCCTTCGTGTACTCACAGCGAATGTTCTCATACAGATTGCCAGTATTTATATCTGAATCGGTTCCATCCGAGTTTGAAGCCATGTTCATGCATATGTTGCACACCAAACAAGTTACGTTTTCCCAATCTCGTTCCTTTAACTATTTAGAAAGCACAGCAGAGTGTTCTACATTTAGTTCTGAGTTTTTATCCGTTTTCGTGAAAGTTCCAACTGACTCTCTTGCTGATAAAAATGGTAAGAGGTTTAACCTTTGTTGTACGTTGATTTACAAATGTCATCTAGCGTACTCCGCATTCTGTGCAACCAATCCTCTTTGGTCAATCTTTCAACATTTCCAATCGGCAATATTTGATACGCTTCTGGGCCTTGCTTGTCAAAGAACACAATACCTCCTGTCAAACAACCAACTGCAATTTCAAGAACGTATTTATCCGTGGCCACAGTATAGAACTTGAATTGAACAAGCTCTCGTAGAATGTCGATAAAGGAACTATTTTCAACTAAAACTGTAACACTTGATGTTATTACACGATATAGTTGCTCCTCTAGCTCCTGAACACCAAACTGAAGTTCAAAACCTTCAATGTGAGGAACTAGACTTTCATACTGTACTTCACTAGACGTCTTGAACGTATTCTTCTTTTCAGTAATGCCCAAATAATAAGAACCCCCGCTTTCAATTTTTGTCATACAGCTCAGATATTCTCGAAATCGAAGCTTATCCCACACATAGTATGCAAATCTCTCGGGATCTTTGTCTATAATCTTCCTGTCATCTTCGTTTGGTTTGAAAGTTTTTAGCTGCACATGTCGACTTTCATAGGGTACTGGTTCGATACCTCTCAATTCTGCAGGTTTCACTCGAGATGAGAGCGAGTCACTCAAAATAGACAGAATATTGAGTGCTGATGGACGTTCAACTTTCAGATCTGAACACACTTTCGTTTTGAAATCAACCGTCGCCACTCCTTTGGTTTGAGTAACAGATATGACGATGAAGTCTTTGAAATTCTTAAACGTTGGTAATTCCCGCAGCCAGTGTCTCTCGTATGCTGTAATGAATAGTTGTCCATCACAGATCAAATTGTTCAGACTTTCTTCAAGAAACTCATCGAAATAGCCAAGGAAATGATCACTGTAAACTTGTCCACTGACATGAATGATCAGTTTGCCACCGGATGTGTTACGAAGGGCTGACAAACAAACTTGAATCCTTCTGAGTGCAGTTTTTGCATTAGGGTTGTGTTTCCTTCTGCCCCTCAAGTCAGAATAGGTCAAGTGTTGAATCAGTACATTCGGTACTTTGGCTTGTGTTTTTGTGTACAGTTTCCCAACTTTTTGGCATGGCCTGCATGACATCCTAATCTGAAAGAGGACACGAGTCATTGAATTGAAATAATCATCTTGTTTGCGACAACAACAGACCTCCACTGTTCCAACCTGTTCCAATAATACAAGTGACTACTAACAACGCCCCAATATCACCAAAGCGAGTATTCGAGACTTGACCAGACAAGAGAGGGATTAATATTAAGGACGAAGATACACACTGTCTAAGAACAATGACAGGAAGTTCCCCAGCCGTCTTGAGTCAGTTTAATTTGTTTATTCCTTTTGGTGGAGGGGTAGGGCGAGAGGTGGTCTTAAAGGCTACTTATACACCAAGGTTTGGTCATTTCGGTTTCGTCAAAGCTTTCGTTTTGTCACGTCATGTTGGAGAATGGGACGAGTGCTTGGGAATTGTTGTTTTATAGTTTTACAGTTGAACTTATCGTATTTAGTTATTCCATCATGATCGCATTATGTAATATTGTGGAGGGTGAGTGAGTGAGTGAGTTTAGTTTTACACCGTTTTCAGCAGTATTCCAGCAATATCATGGTGAGGGACACCAGATATGGGCTTCAGATATTGCACCATGTCGGGAATCGAACCCGGGTCCGACGTGACGAACCAACGCTTTAACCATTAGGCTACTCCACCGCCCCAGGAGTGTAGGAGGGAGAAAAGCGGAGGATATGGCGGGGCGGCAGGACGGCGTAACTGTTCTATCCCTGGAAAATATCGTTGAGAGCCGTGTAAAGAACATAATTATGTTCATATGTTAAAGACAACATTAAACGACTACTATTGTGAAAAGAAAACAAAACCCGGTTGGATGGAAAGTGAATGAATGAGTGAAAAAAACATAGGTGTTGTGACGAGCTGGGGACAGAAATCGCACCTAGAATTTTATTGTACACAACTGAATTCCCACGAAGATCCTTTATCCCTATAATTTGAGTATGTTTTCTTCGGTCTGCTGACTGTGAATATATCGCCTGTCACGCGTCGGGGGGTGGGGTGGGGGGGGGTAGGCGACGCAACTACGTATCACAAATTTTTGATCGAGGGTTCGAATCGCAGATTCGTTGTGATTTTTATTAGTAAAAGACAAAATATTATGGATGTCAACTTCTTTATTGTATACACAGCGTTTGTGGGCTTTTCCTTCTTTTTCTTTATGCCACTCAAAGAGGGTTTCCTTCTTCTACTTGAATACCAACTTCTATATGCCGCTTAAGAACCTTATTAGTATACACATGGAAAAAATGTAACCATTATCCATTGCCATAGCTACGGAACTTATCCAAACCTCAATTTAACTTACAATCTGGTTAAATTCACCTTTAATACGACTTTGCAAATCTACACGAATAAAAAGGTGAGTGAGTATAGTTTTACGCCGCTTTTAGCAATATCACAGCGGGGACACCAGAAATGGGTTTCACACATTGTACCCATGTGGGGAATATATGCCGGGTCTTCGCTGTGACGAGCGAACGCTTTAAATAGATAATAAGGCTACTACGCCGTCCCCGGATTTGAAGCGAGAGAGGATTGTGTGTGACACCTACAGGGAAGGTTGAAGACTAACGGGTATTCGAACAGAAATAACACATTGTATTTATTTTGAAATGGTTATGAGAGTTTCAGAAATTGTAGGACATCTTGACATGTTTCATAACGGCTACAGCATTACTGTAATGGGTGGATAGAGAGGAAATAGTATGAATCATTGACGGTGAGACAGACACTGGGTGGGGTGAAAGATTATAGGGCTGATAGATTACAATAATAACTGAAACACTTACCTATCGAACAGACTGAGACCGAAGTACCTTCGGAGCCCTCTTGTATAAACATAATGCACGATACCTTCCACAGACCGCAGTCAACCAGAAGTTAGATATCCCTAGCACAGCGAACCGTCTCCACCCGTCCCTAACCTTGTCACTGTCGGCGTTCTGTACACCCGGCTCAGCTTATTCACATTATTCATGAGTGTGTGACACCGACCTAGATAATGTGTATGCATAAAGACCAACGTCAAACTGACATAGTATTATTAGTTTACTCGAACGATGGTCCCGTGTACTGACAGATACGCAGATGCAGGTGACTGGAGTTGTTCTGTTCTTTTACTTACAGATTTGTTACGTGGTTTTGTAACGGTTCAACGATCAGACTTGGCGACCAGCAGCTGTGATGAGACGCCATCTTTCACAGGGTCGGTGTTGTGTTGGTGGTATGAACCGAGCACTTAACAGATTAACCCTCATCTCGTGTATCAACGATACGTGGTGGAATGGAATGGAATAGAATTTACCGTGAATTTATTAGACCGTCAAGATCCGGGTAAAAATTGGTCTTCAGTAACCCATGCTTGTTGTAAGAGACAGTTAACATGATCGGGTGGTCAGGCTCGCTGACTTGGTTGACACATGTTATCGTATCCCAGTTGCGTAGATCGATGCTCATGCTGTTGACCACTGGATGGTCTGGTCTGGACTCGACAGACCGCCGCCATATACGAGCTGTATATGTAATAGCTGTAATAGCTGTAATAGCTCGTAGCTGTAATATTGCTGAGTGCGGCGTAAGACAAACAAACTAAATTTGTAAGCATCACTTCCAGCCACATCAAGCTGCCACTCAAGGATATAACTGAAACACTCTTCAGGGCGGCTTTAAAAGATGATGACCGAATGTTGTCTTAAATAACAGTCAACCTACGTTACAGCAGTATCATGATAAACAAGCGACAGACAAATAACATTGTGTTGTACAAAATGCACAAGTTGGGTTATCTTAGCGTTAAGTCCACACTAAAGTTACGGTCGTCTCAGCACAAAGACTGACTGATTGACTGAGTTTGGTTTTACGCCGCTTTTAGCAATATTCCAGCAACATCACGGCGGGGGATACCAGAAATGGGCTTTACACATTGTGCCCATGTGGGACTCGAACCCGGGTCTTCGGCGTGACGAGCCAAATGTTCGATTCCCCACATGGGTACAATGTGTGAAGCCCATGTTGGTGTCCTCCGCCGTGATATTGCTGGAATAATGCTGAAAACGGCGTAAAATTACACTCACTCACTCCACACTAAGATTGTTCTGTGGAACCTGGCCCATGTCGTATTTGGTGGCCATTGAATCATTCTTTTCTATGATTCTTACGGAGCATGTAGCCCTCTTGGGACAATTTTAGAGAGTATGGAATTTGGTGTAGGCAATTGCGGTGGAGTAGCCTACTGGTTAAAGCGTTCCCTTGCCACACCTAAGACCCGGGTTTGATTCCCCATATGGGTGCAATGTGTGAAGCCCATTTCTGGTGTCACAGGCCGTGATATCGCTGAAATGTATATTTTAAAACTGGGTAAAACCCAACTCACTCACTCTTGGTGCTGGAATTTACGTCGCCAAATGACGTGTCATATCGTTATCGTGATTTCGCACATCAACACTGTTCACAAAGGTCGAGAAGGCGATAGTGACAGTCACTATCTATGTGATAATTTACTGTTCCAATTTACCTGTTGAATTAATCACGTGGGATGTTGTTAATTGATATATGGGTCCCTTTGAACTTATACCATTTGTCTTTCCATTTGTTTATGACAATTATGTAGGCCAGGGTACGTCCCCTTTTAACGAACGTTTGGCATGGTGACTATTTCACGGTGATTCACAAAGACATGCTCATGATACTGCTTTTATCAGATAAGAGATTTCTTATGGAAGTGGAAAGGGTTTCATTGTATCTATCTTCAATTTCTAGTAGTGGCAAAAGTCTCTCTCTCTCTCTCTCTCTCTCTCTCTCTCTCTCTCTCTCTCTCTCTCTCTCTCTCTCTCTCTCTCTCGGGCGTTCGATCCCCGGCCACGTCATACCAAAAGACGTTAAAATATGGTACTTGCTGATCCCTGCCAGGCGCTCGGCATTAATGGGTAGCACTATAAAACCAGCTTAAGCCTGGGCTGGTACAAGCAGCCACACATAACACGCCTGCACGTAGTCATTTGAGCGAAATATTCTCAAGTACGCTTCATCTCACCTTATATACGGACCTACAACAAGAACTACCCGGTGATTGTACGTCCGCCTCTTTGAATCGCTTCCGTGGAATAGTGAAGATTTATTCAGAAGTCCGTGTTCCTTGAATGTTGGCTTGTTTGTGCACATGTTTCCATCTATTCTGGCTATATAAAAACCTGCTTATGTTGTCCCTGTTTCTACTACTCTATACACTTCCACGCTGCCGTGACCGACTGCTGTCCATAATCCCAAGCTATCATTATTGTATATGTAATACCCAAGTACTCTCCCTGTACCCGTGGCCATATTGTATCTGTAATACTCCAGTACTCTCCTTCTACACGTGGTCACATTGTATCTGTAATACTCCAGTACTCTCCCACTACCCGTGGCCACATTGTATCTGTAATACCCCAGTACTCTCCCTCTACCCGTGACCATATTGTATCTGTAATACTCCAGTACTCTCCCTCTACCCGTGGCCACATTGTATCTGCAATACTCCAGTACTCTCCCTCTACTCGTGGCCATGTTGTATCTGTAATATTCCAGTACTCTCCCTCTACCCGTGACCATATTGTATCTGTAATACACCAGTACTCTCCCACTACCCGTGACCATATTGTATCTGTAATACACCAGTACTCTCCCTCTACTAGTGGCCATATTGTATCTGTAATAATCCAGTACTCTCCCACTACCAGTGGCTGTATTGTATCTGTAATATTCCAGTACTCTCCCTCTACCCGTGGTCACATTGTATCTGTAATACTCCAGTACTCTCCCTCTACACGTGGTCACATTGTATCTGTAATACTCCAGTACTCTCCCTCTACCCGAGGTCACATTGTACCTGTAATACTCCAGTACTCTCCCACTACCCGTGGTCACATTGTATCTGTAATACTCCAGTACTCTCCCTCTACCCGTGACCATATTGTATCTGTAATACTCCAGTACTCTCCCTCTACCCGTGGTCACATTGTATCTGTAATACTCCAATACTCTCCCTCTACCCGTGGTCACATTGTATCTGTAATACTCCAGTACTCTCCCTTTAGCAGTGGCCATATTGTATCTGTAATAATCCAGTACTCTCCCTCTACCAGTTGCCACATTGTAACTGCTTTATTCACCACTATACCTGGAAAACCTTTCAGATTTGTCAGATTGACCTTACTGTCTGCACCCACATTGTGTAGGTTGTCCCTGCGTCATGTTTTCGTGATATGATATATGTGACCAACCCATGTCCTACAACATTATATCTCCGTATTGTTTACGTCCTCCATTGCAGCGTCTTCCATCAGTACATTCAGCTTTGATGTTGGCTGTAATCAGTCTGCCCAGAGTTTCGTCCCTTTGACTGACAACCTCTCCCAAACAGCAGCCAATGTATTCATGGCATTGTTTTTATCGCCTTACCAGTTAAATGCTATATACCGTGCACCAACATCTTCGGTATGACTTATCAATCCACGAATGTGATCACCAGACGATTCCATAACATACCATAAGTCTTCCAACTTTATCAACTCGATATTAATTTGGAAATCATGTTTTGCTCGTCCGTCAAATCCGCACTAAATAGCGGCCTGCACGATGTGGAGTCTGGACCTAACAATCCAGTGCCGCGTACTGTCAGCAGTTATCAACATTGACGCGGTTAAATGACACGCATTCAACCATGCACGACAAACTCATCCATGTTGCATCCCATTATCAAAGTATATTTTATCCATTAAACGTTAAATATGTCGCACAGTGTGTTATAGAGCTTTATTGTTTCAATAACAGTACAATTTGGGATTATAGTTGTTGTTACATTTGTTGTTACACTGGGTGTAATATTGCTTGTTACATTGGGTGTACCATTGCTTGTTACATTGGATGTACTATTGCTTGTTACATTGGGTGTACTGTTGCTTGTTACATTGTGTACACGGGTGTACTGTTGCTTGTTACATTGGATGTACTATTGCTTGTTACATTGGGTGTACTATTGCTTGTTACATTGGGTGTACTGTTGCTTTTGACATTGGGTGTACCGTTGCTAGTTACATCGTGTGCACTGTTGCTTGTTACTTTGGATGTACTATTGCTTGTTACATTGTGTACACTATTGCTTGTTACTTTGGGTGTACTATTGCTTTTTACATTGGATGTACTATTGCTTGTTACATTGGGTGTACTATTGCTTGTTACATTGGGTGTACTATTGATTTTGACATTGGGTGTACCGTTGCTAGTTACATCGTGTGCACTGTTGCTTGTTACATAAGGTGTACTATTCCTTGGTACATAAGGTGCACTATTGTTAGTTACTTTGGGTGTACTATTGCTTTTTACATTGGATGTACTACTGCTTTTTATATTAGGTGTACTATTGCTTTTTATGTTGTGTCCACTAGTGCTTGTTACATTGGGTGTACTATTGCTTTTCACATAAAATGCACTATTGATTTTTATATTGGGTGTACTTTTGCTTGGTATATCGTGTGTACTATTCCTTGGTACATAAGGTGCACTATTACTAGTTACTTTGCATGTACTATTGCTTGTTACATTGGGTGTACTATTGCTTGGTATATCGTGTGTACTCTTGCTTGGTACGCCATGTGTAGTATTGCTTGTTACATTATATCCACTATTGCTTGTTACATTGGGTGTATTATTGTACTGTTGCTTAAAATGCACTATTGCTTTTTATATTGGGTGTACTATTGCTTGGTATATCGAATGTACTATTCCTTAGTACATAAGGTGTACTATTCCTTGGTACATAAGGTGCACTATTGCTAGTTACTTTGCATGTACTATTGCTAGTTACTTTGCATGTACTATTGCTTGTTACATTGTGCTCACTATTGCTTGTTACTTTGGGTGTACTATTGCTTTTTGCATTGTGTTCACTATCGTTTTTTACATTGGATGTACTTTTGCTTTTTACATAAAATGCACTATTGCTTTTATATTGGGTGTACTATTCCTTTTTATGTTGTGTCCACTATTGCTTGTTACATTGTGTGTACTATTGCTTGT